AAGTTGAGAAATACACGGGCAGCAGAACCTTTATTAATTTTTACAGCCTCTGCAGCAGAACGACCGTTTCTGACGCGATCGCTATCGAATTCTTCAGAGCCTGAGGCAGATGGGAAATTGTCGAGAAGTCCTTCGCCACGAAGAAAAGACACCACTAAGTGAGCTGTTCCATAATTTACCACTGCCTTGATACGTTTGGTCGATAAACTTTTCCTCCCAGAAACAGCATAAGTGAAAGCCAAGGTATTCCTTGATCCATAAGTCTTGCACGGAAAATGTAAAAATTCACTAAAAGTATATGAAGCGCGCACTTGAATTTAAAATTGCAATTAACATTCTTGAATAATACAAGAAGTGATTTATTTGACTATGCGTTGGTAATTCAACAAAACGAAATGTGGATTGATGAATCGACGATCATAACTATTGGAAGAAACATCCAGTCACCAGAATTTCTGACAATCAAAAAGAACAAGGGTTGAACCATAGTCAAAAATAAATTTAGGTTCTTTTGGATCTTCTAGCTTATCTGGAGACTAAAAAATTACTATTTGGCTTTACTTAATCAGCTTGTACCACCGCGACAGTGTGTATAAATTTTTGGTTTAAGCAATGTGAAGTGCATGATTTCTTTTTGAGTTTTGAATCGAACAACTTCATGGAGAGCACAGATACTTACAACTCTTCAAAAATTTTGGTGCAACACTTATGGATCAACCTAACAACATGGTTACGATTATACCTCTCAAAAAAAAACCGTTGTGCACTTCCTCCACAGTCAGAAGTCACGATAAATTTTTGAGAAATCCAAAAAAGACTCTACGTTTCCACTTCGTACTAACCCAGCCTCATATGGCTTACCCTCTGAGAAAAATACCAACCCTCAAAGCTTATGCCATTCTGTCCATATCTAGATCCGACATTGTCCCGCTTCCGGAAGAACTAAACGGTATAATAGTGACTCCTACCGCCGAAGAGGAGCTCGCGCAACCGCAGGGCAGGCGATTTGAGAAAAGGTAATTTTGATATTGTTTGATGAAGCACATCTTCCAACATTATCCTCATCCTACAGATATCACACAGCTGACGGCATCGATGTGTTGAAGCCAAAAGGAGCAGTGCTACAAGGTGGCATCCTTAAACGATTCTCTTGGAATGTAAGCTCCGCTGTTGGAGCCAGTAGTCGTAAAATTTCCGCTAGATTAGGAGAGGTAAACTATGACTTCTGTATTTGATTGGGATACGAGAAAAAACCTTCTTTTTAAAGCATAGCCGCAGACATTCTCAAGCATCAACAGCTGCGTCATCCGAATCATTCGGAAGTTCGACGTCGGGAATCTCTTCCTCATCATCTCATGCCGATCCAGAGGTATGTTGGAACACTCGGTAGATCAATGTAAACCCTCCATAGCTCAATTGCAAAAACTGGCACTTTGCCAGGTGATCAAGCAAAGATCAAGCAAACTACAGAGATTCCTATGATTGCCTGATGCTCAAAATTAGAGATAGAAAACCTGAAGATTACAATCTGAAAGATTGATAAGACACCATACATCACTAAAATATAATTTCTCACAAAGCGTTTACATTTAGATGCCTAATGTTTCGTATGCTTTACTCATCGGCCTCAATACAATTTTGAGCTATGTGGTGAATGTGGTGTAATTTTGAGAGAAGTGTTCCTATCAACAAGACGTGCTATCCACCCCTAATGTCCAACAAGGAAATCCAGAGCTTCTACAAGTTTTGCAAAAAGGCTTCTTTTGAATCGGTAACAAAATAGAGGAGAATTTGGAATTGTCAACAAATTTCTGAAAAGCCTACGCTCGTTGAGCCAAATTAAATCCGTCACCTTTATATGTTCAAATACCTCAAAAAAAGAAATCTTTTTAGGAAAATTCAGGCTCACGCTTTCCTCATAGAGAATGATGAGTACTGAAAGACAGCTCTTTTGCTCAAAGAGTCAAGCAGTGTATGTAAAATATCATTGAATGATTGATTCAGTGATACCTGTTGTAGTTAAAAGGTGTAGATACTAATGTTCTAAACAAAATTTAATTTTAACATGATTATATGGAAGGGCAAAATGTTCTTGATATTTCATTGGCGAGTGCCACTTTTTGTTGCTCTAAATAGTTTCACTGGATCGTGACATAGGCCCGTAGTAAACCTCGGTCATGGGAGATGATATCCCATGAAGCCCTCATGTG